TATACCGTTGTTGGGGTAGTGATTCACATTTCAATTTGTGAGATCGCTACCATTTAGTTAATCTTAGCTGAAATATTGTACACGAAAAGAAATGTTTTTTAGGCTTCATAGGCAGTCAAGTTTAGGGGTATACGGTAGCGCTCAAAAGTATTTGGCCAAATGCTTCTTCGGTCGTGCTTTTTCAGTCGTAACTTCTTTCCTACCGGATCCAATCACGCGATATTTCAATTGTGTAGCATAAATGTAGTGTGAACATTTACCACTATCAACCTGCAATCTGATCATGTTCCAGATCTCCCAAAGGGCTTGAACAAAAAAATCAACTGGAAATACGAATGATAGTCCTTCTGGAAGTTCTTTCCTTTTTGCCATATCTAAGGTGTACGAGCGCTAATGCCGAACCCAGAAGAGAAGAAAAACGTACATAAGGTCCGAATAATTGCAGACGTCACAAACTTGCTTTCAGCATAGTCTACAAACGCCCCCATTAGTTAGGTCAATATGGCTGCTTTACAGTCAAGTAGTGTTGGACAGTGTAAAATATGCTTCAGCTAAACATATCAAAATTTCATGCGATTTGCACCACTGAGAAAAAAGTTACACCCGAAAAGGCTTGGCCGAACACTTTTGAGCGCTACTGTATATTGTCTCGGAATTACCCTCAAAGGCGAGAATGTTTAAAGAGGCTGGGTCGGACCTCTGTGTCTAGGTAGTGTGCACGAGCTTCTCAATGGAGCTGGCGAAAGGCAGGATTTCGAATCTCCTAGCACCAGGTATCCACTTTCCACATAGAAACTTGGACTTGTTTGGTCTTGGCGGGGATTGATGCACTAATGTGTTTAGCTCAGGCTCAGTTGATCGTATGTAATGAAGTCAACTTAGGAGCTTCTCTAACAGTATTTCGGTGCTCCCACAGTGATCCTTCCAAACTTGACGTGGAGATTGATGTTTCGATGAATATTGCCTAGATCATGTCACGTTAATGAAGTCGATATATTAGCATGGAAGATAAGTCCTAAAACACTTTGGACAAGTTTTTGAATTTCATATTTATTCATTAAACGAGACCATCAATCCACAATATAAAGGATAAAAGGATCATGTTTTTTGGCGTTAACCAATCCCGTCTGAGGGGTGCACCCCCGCACTCGATTTCCGCTCAGAACCGTAGTGGCGTAATGAGTGCGTATGCGACCTATACAATGAGTTGCGGTGGCCAGCCGACGTACAATTCAGTGCTTTCATCCTCTCAGACGAGTCTGGTACCACTTGACCACCCGGAGGGACGGAAGGTTTGTTTGGCCTAGTCGGGCATCGATCCGGGATTTGAAACACTGACCATGCATGTGACAATCCACAATATATTCACCATTATTATCTAGGGCAAGTGCCTATCTTTCAGGCAGTTTCTCGATCCCTCCCTTCCAGAATTCCGGTGGCTGCGACGAAAAAAGTAGTACATCTCATTTTTGAGTTCACACTGCGGGCGTGCGTTATCGTGGAGTGGGAAGACAGTCTTTTCAGGCGTAGCTCTCGCATTACGTCGGCCATTTTCTGCAGCTGGTTAGCGTAGACTGTGGCCGTCACTGTGCGCCACTGTCTAGCAGCTTCCAAGAGATCATTACACCACAGTCCCACCAGCAGCAGAATAAACCCTTCTCTCATGGAGGTCTGCTTAAGTCTCCGTAAAGGGCTTTTCTCCTCGCGCGACCCAGTGGCGCTCACGTATGCTTCACGCAAAGCACTCAGCTCTCATCTTCGGTTACTGTGCCTCGCAATATATCCTTCCGATGGGGACGAAGCAGGAGATACTAAGCCATGTGCGCACTGTTCGTCTTGTCAGACAGGCGACGTTCATGAAGAACTTCTTCACAAAGCCCTTTTATATCCATTTTCGAGATCCTTCAAAGACACTCTACACCAACTAGGCGCGAAAACATTTGAGAGGGCTTTTCTCCTCGGAGGGACATGTTCAAAGTGTTGCAAGACTTATCTTCCAACCTAATAACTTTGCACTCTTCAATTAATCCGTTCTATTTGTCGTTCCTGTTCGCAACAAGACCGTTCAAGATTATGTCCCCATGAAGAGGAATAGAGGCATGAGAGGAACTAAAAATGATGGATTGGTTGCGTCTTGGAGATAGGATTGTCGAAAGCTCTTTTATCATTACGAGATGTGGCTGCCGAGAAATCCCAAGAGGCAGTCGAGGCTCTGTTGTTAATCCGTTGAAAGCTTGACGTGAAAAAATCCTTGCAAGCGATCTTGACAAAGCTGACTAGCTTCAGCCTGCCGTGAGCGATAACTACTCACCTAAATATCACAAGATCCGCTACGGTAGCACCACTGTTCCCATCTGTTTTCGAAATTGCGGTATTGAACTCATCAGCGCTTGTTACCATGGTGGCAATTAAAGTCCCTGAAACGAATTCAATTGTTTAATAGTTGTAGATAAGTATTATGTAGATCATTTCATCATAGAACCATGAACGCTCTTCCAATGACAAAAGATAAAGGAAAACGAATTCGGCATGATAACCTACAACAGCTCATTCTCCATTCCTTCCCTTATCATTATCCCCAAAGTTGTTCTTCCCTCTTTTAGAAAGAGCACAGTTACTAGCCTTTTACACATTTACTTCGAGTGTATTCCACCTATTATTTACATTCAAAAAAATGAAGTGGGAGAAAGTTTTTGAAAGTGAGAAGGCTTGACTTACCGACGACAGCGAACAGTAGGAAGCAGGAGAGGGTGGTGAAGGGCAGTAGAAGACGTTGTCGAACGGCAAGCACACCCCATACGAACAGTACGGCAAACAAAACGATAATTGTTAGCGCTACCGACAGGAGAGCTTAAAAACTTTCCACGTATGTGATCACTTGCTGACAAACAGATATGAAAATGGAGTTTTGTCCAGAATAGAGCCCATATTTGCAATCACTGGAAACCAATTGAATCGTGGCGAGTATCAGGCTTCTATTTAGAGCCTCAGTGTTGAGGGTGCCCCCACCCAGGTTTTAAGAAGGTTGCCAACATTCCTCCGCAGTAAAAGTCACCAGAGAGGTTACCTGAGTTTCGGCTTGCCCTTTTTTTCATGATCATGAACTTGCCAGAAGTCGGAAGTTCATGATCAGTTCATAAACAATGCCATAGGCTTCTTCTTGAGCGAATTGATTCGGTTGCTTTTTCATTATTATTATCCAGTATTTGAACTATGAAGGTCACGGTGTCGAGATTCCGCGTTCCAAACCTAGTTGGCCGTCATATTAACACTCTCTATGTCGGATTCACTTATTTTGTGCCTCGCTTTATGCTTTGCGGTAGTCAGTAAAAGTTTACTCGACGTGATCAAAAATAAAATTCTCACCGATCATTTTCGTTCCACCAAGACCTTCCAAAGAAGATGTTGATGATTTTAGATGGATGACGCAGCAAATATAGAGAGCGGCGGCTAGCAACGAAGTCGATACGATACCAAATAGGGCAGCTGAAATAGGGTGGGCTGGTGATGAAGCTAGAATGAGGGCAAGGCGAAGTGAAAATCATGCATGTTCTGAATAGTACATGGTTATTTGTACGTATAGGAATCGTGGTTGTATGTAAATACTGGTATGTCTTGGGCGACGAACATGACGTCTGTAGGCTTTTTAACCGCAATCTTCAGCGGGGCGCCGAACTCATGGCAATCCTATCGTTCATCATTTGCTGAGCCGTTATGCATCGTCATAGCATATTTTGCAGCAAGTGCTCGGGTGGTTCGAATATGCGCTGGACGGTTTATTTTGTAAGAATAGGTTGATAGAGGGAGATCACAAGTTCAAGCATTGAGCATGAGACGATCATTGTGGAAATGCATCAACAATTTCTTTTGTTGATGTTGTTTATCCAATTGGAAACCACAATTTCCCAGTCGTTCGAATTCTTTCTGGTGATGTTACGCTAATGGTGCAGATTATACTCGGCGTTGATTAACCGCTTTTGAGATAGGTCGTGCACTCGATTTTCATTCGGAAACGTAGCTGCTTCCGCATGTGCTCAGGCCTACAGGTTTTCCAGTGTCCACTCACTTACATAAATGTTTTATTTTGTCAAACGAAAATGAATCTGTAAATAATGAGAAACGAACGCGCAAATGGCCAGACAAAGTTCGAACTCGAAAACCTATCGAAAAACATTCATCCAATCGTGACCGAGGTATACATTTTGCGCAGATAAGGTTTTTTAGGGATAAATTTCATATTCCCCCAGACTTTCTACACTCCTTTCTCATTTTCATGGCCCGAATGAAGTTGAAGATTTCGCTGTCTTCTATTTTGATATATTTGAAAGGCGATACCTTAGATTCACCCATGAGAACCAATTATAGCGAAAAGGAGCAAAAATGGTTAACGATTCTTTGGCTTTTCCACTTCCTACCAGTCTACTTTTTAGAATTCAGTCGGAGGAGATGTTTGAGTTCTGATCGATGAATAGGGATGAACTCTATTCGCGCGCTGTGCTGCTCCAGCCTAGCATTCATGAACAACAGGCAGACTCAGATCTGGCTGATATTTATTTTTACATGTCGACTCATAGAAACAATTGGCACGTACCGGCATTGACAGGGAGTAGGCAGCACATTTTCGGAACAGATGGCTTCACCCGACGGAATTGTTGTGAGTCAGTGGCTAAGGTGGCTGTTGACAGAACAATCATTGACTGGGGTTCTGCAATGATGAAATTAAGTTCATCCTTATTCTATTGTATCTTATGTTTGTTTATGGATGCAGTGATCTTGAAATTCTGAAAAAAAAATTGCGACTCAAAGATTCCCTAATATAAAAAGATTTCATTTAGGAGACACATCAACTGGGCTCGCTAGATCAAGTGAGGAGATTGAGCTAGGCTGTGCTATAATGTGGGTGACAAGTAATGAATTGCGATATTTGTGACTTTGCAGCTGTGGGGCAGAGGTGCAATGGTGACTGAACCACCTGCTCGGCAACATTTCAAAGAGAGCTTCAAAAAATTTGCTCTTTGGCCGCTCCTAAATTTCAAAGTAGTTGCTCTTGAATATTTCACAATACTACGTCACAGTGGTAATATACTTTGCCATCAACTATCAAAACCGATCACAATGAAAGGGAAAATGAGTTCTACACTACATAATTTCTTTTTTTCAAGTAATCAAATAGCGGGTCGAAAAACTCCGAGGCCAATTAAGCCTCCACTTCCTTGATTCGAGAGTCTGAGAGCTCAAAAGCTCTGGCCAGCGGTTAATTCCTGCATGCCATCATATATCCTTGCAGATGTTTTTTCAAAAGACAGGGATAGCCGAGTGCATAAGAGCGTGAGCTCATGTCTGCACTTAGAAAGAGTGCGAGTTCGATCTCTGACAAGACAAATCCGTGCTTTGTGAAAATTGCGGTATCGGTACCAGCGTCAGGTCCAGGTTGACAGGGCGCCTGACGGAGAACCTAGTCATAGCAATAATGTCTAAAGTCTCAAAGGGAATCAGTGATAAAGCTAGGACGTGATCCGGAAGTGGCGCACAGGACCCCGCCTGAGTCCTGTGGACAGTATGCGAGGGTTAATGAGGAGTGAGCGACCTCGGCCAAAGAAGCTAGTTTGAATTGGGACTCTGAACGTGGGATCGCTTACTGGAAAGTCCCGAGAGGCCGATGAAGCGCAGGAACATCCAAGTCCTATGCCTTCAGGAGACCCTCTGGAAAGAATCAAAGGCCAGAGAAGTAGGAGAGGGTGTCAAGCTTTCCTATAACGGAGAAGACACCAAACGAAATGGTGTGGCCTTGGCTGTGGCGAAGCCCCTTAAAGACCCCGTCAACAGGATCAGCAGCCGAATCATGGCTGTGAGGATAGACATGAAAGAGGGTTACTGGACAATAATACCTCTGTACTCCCCACAGGTTGGCTGCCCCTCGTCGGAAAGGATGAGTTCCATCTGATCCTTGACGAGGCTATCCGGCTCACAGTAGCGGGTGATCTCAAGGCCACGTTGGAATTTAGCAAAGGGGCTATGAGGAATTCACGGAGGCTAGGGAATAGGTGTCAGAAACGAAGGAAGAGAGGGTCCTTGCCCTGACCATAGCCCAGGTCTTGGCAGTATGTAGCACCTTTTTCGCGAAAAGGAAATCCCAGAAGATAACCTACTGCAGAGCAGGGAAAGAAACAGAAATATAGACCACGTCCTCCTAGGAAGGTCATTCCTTAAAACTGTGAAGGACATGAAAGTACTGCCTGGTGAAGACCTGGCTTGACAGCACAGGCCTCTCCTAGTAGACATCGCCATCGATATTCGGAAGAAAACAAGGTCAAGAACGGAGCGGAGGATCCGGTGGTGGAAGCGGAACCGAGTCGAAAAAGAACACCTCAGAGAGTAAATAATGGAGACAGGACTCCCAGATCCCGAAGGGCCGATCCATCAGACCTAGAGCAACGCCGTGCAGGTCATGCAACGATGTGCCAGGATTATACTGGCTTCCTATCGTCCTCAGGAGCGGCAATCCGTGGCCTTCCCGAGCTGGCTTGTTTGATTGGGCCTGTGAGAGACTCAATACTTCCGGTAGCCTTGTACTGGTACCGTTCAAAAAGAAATCACCTTGAACCTTTTTTGCCATAACTCATCTCGAACTCAATGTTTTTGACTGATTTTTTGTCATGCTGTAGCTCATAATATTATATTTATGAATTTTATAAAGATTCTATCGTTATAAAATTCTTACACCTAGGTCGAATTTGTTCAAAAAATTACCACAAACCTTTCCTCGACTCTTTTAACGGATGAACTTTCATGGTGTCGCATGAGAGGAAGGTCTCAGCCATGTAGCTGAAACACAAACTCTCAGAAACGAAAAAAAACGCATAATGGTGATGTACTGTGAACTCGCTTGTTTTCAAATGGCATCAAAAGAGCATTCAGAGCGCTATGTATTGAATGCGAGTGAGATAGGCCATGACATTGAGACGAACGAATGAGAAATCGTTTGAAAACACAGAAGGAACGGGATTGCGGGCGACCAGAAGCCAACCAAACCCTTTGGAACATTTCGAGGAGTAGGGTGAGATTGAAGTCTAATCAGTGAGTAGTCTCATGGCCTTTGAAGACGACTGATTTTCTACATCAATCTGTTACCGAAGATTTTGAAGGAAACTTTGCGGAAAACATGAAGAGTCATATGTAGAAATAAAGTCTAAACTAAGTGAGTGAGCTCGATTCGAGGCCTCAAGCTTGTATTTTGAAGAGTATACTCTTTGTTGGGTTTTTATAAGGTTGTTACATAAGTAATGTCGTGTTTTGATGGCACAGTTCACGATAATTTTGGTTACCCTTTTTAAGTCGAAAAGCGGAAGTAATGGTTGGGAATAGTGAGTGCATTGGTGGTGAAAGAAGCGGATCATTCCCTTGATTTTGCAAAAAATAAGGTCCCTCGAAATTAGAGAAAATAGATTGTGTACAGGATTATCAGGACGTATTAGTGTGTGCATTAATGTCTGCCGCCGAATTCCGAGGGCCGTTGCGCGAAACACGTTAGAGGTTTACCGGTGGAACCTGTCATATTCTGTAAGGTAGGGTATTGGCTACCTACTTAAGGGCAGACAGATCAGTTTTGCCCAAAATCCTGTGGCTCTCAGACTGGTCATGGAACGTGACGAACCGTTTCCCCCGGGGCCCTTCCCCTGCTGTTTGATTTCAAGGAAACTGGCATTGAAGCCCACCGGATGCTTCTATGGAGGACAAGCTTCATCTGAACGAACCTGCTGAGATAGTTTCTCTTCACTCGAAAGCCTGCAACGAAAGCGGAATGTTTATTGCCAAAAAGTAATGCTGTGCGTGCATTTGGTGGGGGATCAGAAGGGTGTTTTGAACTATGAGCTGCTAAACCNACGAAACTGTTACCGCTGATCGCTAGGAACACCAACTTGACAGTTTGTAGGATGCTCTCACCTAAAAGCTCACCTTAATCGCAAGAAAATATCATGAGGTGCCGTTCCACCACGAACATGCCAGACCCCATGTTGCGAAGAATGTCTTTTAGAAAAATTGCAGTCGTTGGATGAGATCACCTTGTTCGGCCCGCATACTCTCCAGATCTTGCTCTTTCTGTTTACCACCTATTCCGGTCCATGCAAGTCAGTTTGGCAGATACACGCTTTCGGAATGCCGAAGAAGTGTGGAAATTTGTGGATAACAAGATTGTCTCAAACGATGAAGACTTTTTTAGACCCGGAGTCAACAAGATACCAGATAGATGGCAAGAAGTTGTAGCTAATGATGGGCAGTATATTGGTTAATGTACATTTAGTTTTAATTTTGTAATAACTATGTTTTTGCATGCAAAAAACGGCGGAATTAAATGCACACACGTAATAAATGACATGAAGGGGTATTCTGACGAGATTTCAGTTGTTGCATTTGGGCTACATCAAGCCAAAACTCTCCACAGTCACCTTTCACTGTCGCTATGGATCATCATAACAAGTTGCTTGAACTTCCGATATGGGTTACCTCGTGGACGGTGGTGGGGTTTTCATACACATGAGACAATCTTTGGACCTATATAACGCTCTGTCTAGGTCGCTTCCCCACCCGACAGCGTCACATATGGTATGCGAGGGCCACAAATTTATCTAGCAGAACATCTCATGAGCCATTTTTGTTGTGAGCTGTGCCTTCAAACTGAAGAAAGTATTTGTCTATGCAAGGGGAGCTTTACTAACTTCGAGAATGAGGTAATTAAGGTTGAACTTCAGCTTTGTAAACTAAGAGATCACGTCAAAGAAAAAAAGCAGGTTCCTAGCTTAGTCAATCTCTGAATTGAATCTGTATGCACTATCTCTCAATTGTGAGAAGCCAAACAATGATGTGTCTACGTACCCAAGCTTCCTTTGAAACTTCGATTGTCGGGTTGTCCAATAAGTCGTTTTTGTGAGAAAATTTTCTTTTCGGCTAGAACTCTTTACTTAACAATACCCTTTCTTCTATCGCACAAATCTCATGCACAGCCTTGATAAGTTTGTACCTTTAATGAAGGTGAGAAGCAAAATAACCTGATCTGCTCCTTTTTGCCACTCGGCACACCATCAGAATGCAAGCTTAAAGTTGCAAGCTTAAAGTTGCTAAGAAGCAAGGTTGAACTGTGAAGGCAAGGTACGTGGTGTCAAAACGTCGAAACAGTGGCAATATAGAAGCTAAGAAGAAAGCCCGTGTTCGAAAAGTTGCATTGGCCTCAATTTTGACGAAAAAAGTCAACTTTGTAAAAAAAGGTGCATGCTACACAACCCAGTCTAAATGTAAGAAAATCAATCAAATGACTAATTAATGGTCGCAAAGAGAATAGAAACCCAACCTACGGTCCTGCATTTTTCGTCTAGAAACTCCTAGGAAATATTCCAGAATGAAAAAAAGGCGTTCCCGCAGTCGCAAGAAATCTTCAATTTGCGAAGAGAACGCGAACTTGTATTCTTTTTGTTTCATTGTTCAAAGTCGCTCCCAAATGATGTTTATTCAAGCTTACAGCACATGATTGAAAACTATTTGAAAGCTTGGTCGTGGACCTGTCTCTTAAGCATAGTCTGGGGTGTTACTTCGTTCTAGAGTTCAGACTTAGAAGAATACTCTGAAGGGCAGAACACCTTTTATTTCCTTACCGAGCCAAATTGCACGGGTGCGGTGCATACCGTTTGATTCTTCAGAATCTAGTAAGACGATTATCGTGAGAAGTTCAAATCTAATCGATTGCATCTCGTGACCAAACCGGGACCATTCAGTTGGCGAACTGAGAAAATAAATCAGGTCACTTAGAATCACTCTTAGGTTGGAAGATAAGTCGTGCAACACTCTGAACTTCTTCCTCCTCCATCTTCCTCAACTGAAGAACTAGTAAAATATAAATATTAGCAAAAAATATTGAATTAAAAAATTACAAAATAAGTGTTAATAAAATTAACAAATATAAAATTCAAAAACACGTCCAAAGTTTTCAAGACATCTTCCAACCTGATATAATGTTTTGCGCAAGGAAACGTTAAGGGAGGTCAGAGCCGGTGAAAAAGGAATGGGTTTTAGGCATTTTGTTCGCGCGTCCTCTGTTCCCTCTTGTATTGTAAACCCCTTTGAAAAGCTCTACCAGCTATTTCGTAAAGCGACTAGCCTTATGAAACAATATGGCAAGTTATTTCAAGTCTAGTGGATGTGATAATCTATTCTTCAATGGTGTTCAGCTGCGGTATGCCTCCTTAGAGCATATTTGGATACTGCAGAAGTTTTAGGAATTGATCTGCCAAGCGCTTGCAAAACCTCACAGGCCATAATTTGGTTTCCCACAACATGGTCGACATGGAGAATGAAGAGTTGATTTACAAAAAATCTTAATTTTTTGTAGATGTTCAGTTGGGAAAACGGAACAATGAAATGGGTCTTTGACAATGTAAGAAAGCAGAGGAAGTTTCTCAGTTTCTTAGAGATGGATATGCATGTACTGACTGCTGTGAACGAATTATAGCAGACGCCAGGCAAAGTTGAACGACCGGTGATGATTCGGACGACAAGAGCCTGACTCACAGCACTCCCTGTCTGCGCAGTCGTCGATAAGAATCAAGGGTCGTATTGTGAAAGGACAACTGAACCACGCGCTCCTAGTTCGGATGGGCGTTTCCGAGAATGGGGTAATCGGGATGTTTTTGAACTTTGCTAGTTTCAGTAGGGTAGTCTTCAGCGTGGGAAATCACACTTGGAAGTTCAGAGGGCTCTAAACGCTCGAAAAACAAAGATTAGGTGGCCGAGATAGGGAAAATGCTAAATTCACTGCTAGGCTACTTGTACACTCAGAAGCTCAGTTTTAGTTTTGGATCGTGTGCAAGACTGCTAGGCTACTGATATCTGTCACCAACTGATGAGTTCTGCAAATAAAACAAAGTTCGATCAAAGTCAATATATGCTGCCGCTCTACCGCAGAATGGACGACGAACACTGTGTTAAATGCAAAGCCGAAAACCTTCGAGCATCTCGATGATTAGTGCATTCAAAATATCGCGCTATTTTTGCATATGCATGGGCTTGCTGCAACCTGTATGCGGATTGAACAACAACTTGTGATAGACACCTGAGTGCAGGACAGTACTTTTTCAGACGTGTGTGATATCTCAAAAACGTGGAAGGCTTAGGTCGAAGTGTTTAAGGGGCGAACGTTCTATGTGGCATTCATCTCAAGTGGTTAAGGTTCCATATGCAACGTCATTGTATACACTGCTCCGCCAAGAAATGAAAAATCTATCGGAATTCAGAGTGCACTCGTCTCAACCACTTTTGCAGATAGAAATTGCTTTCGAGCAAAAGCTGCTTGTGCATCTAACTCCCGAAAACGTTCAGGCAATATAAAAGACATGGCGACCCGGTTAAGGCTCCTTCATTATCGTCCACGAGTTCAAACTCGTGGTAGTGCGCATATGGTGACCATAATAACAGTGCGAAGATTGTAAAGATAGGTAAAGTGAATAATGCGATGGTTCAGTCATAACGCAGTATTCAACATCTTTCACGGCGCTATTTGAGTCAGTGAAGACGCTCGTCGAAAAATCGGCTAAAGGCTGCTGCGGTCGATAGAAAAAAAAATCGATGTATGCTTATGAGCAGTACAGCCGCGGTAAAGGCACAGATCCCGATGAAGATCGATCTAAAGTTTTTCCCTAATATGAACCTGTGACCCCGAGGATAGCACAAGGGACGCTGTCGAGTCAAAGAACGGTGTGGATAGAGCATATTAGTGGCCCCAAAATAGGCTCAGCCTATTTTAGGGCCCTTCTTATGCTCTATCCAGAAGGTT